CTAGATTTCTTCTTCTTTTTTGAAGTGAGAAGTTGTCCGTCAGTCGGACGGACGGACGGACCCCCCCCAAAACGAAAACTCTTCGGTTCTCCACGAATTACACGAGTCACCCAAATCAGCGTTAAAAAAGCGGGAGGCGCCGAAAAATCCCCTATTAATGTAATGATTATAGCTCCGGCTCCGTATAGGTCTGGGTCCGGACTCCGGATCCGGACCGCGGTCCGCCAGTTGCCGACCCCTGCTCTACATTGACTCTACATTGCAGAAACTCAGATATACCAGGTGGTGGCTGCTGCCTGGTAGCTATTAGACTGAGCCTAATTCTTAGTGAATGAGTGCAATTCTCCAGGTGTCAATCCTGTAGTAGAGGGCATTATGCAGTTCCTCTCACCTGTCTAGGACGAGCTATTCAATCATGTTCAATACCCTCAATTATGATCTGCATATATGCTGCGTCACAGTCTCTAGCCAGACAAAAACGATAGTGTGGTTCAAACTTCTGGCTGCTGCTTGTTTATGTGTTCAGGTGACATAGTGGCTGATTTGATCCCTGTGTTAGAATAACTCAGTAAGCCACATGGCCAATATTACATGTTTGGCCTTAGTTAAAAAGATGCCGTTTTCAAATGATTATATGATAATGGATAAGCAAGTTGTAATCTGTATTAAGTAGTTAATAATGAAGTATTCCACTCGTTCAAGAATGTGAGGTGCAATATGTGGTCCTCTATGACTTCAGAGACATTTATATTGCAAGTCCTGCTCTCTCTCTGTCTCTTTCCCTCCATCATTCTCCCTCTCTGAGATCTTCACCTCTCTTTCCACTCTCATCTATTTTTTTAATGCAAGACAGCTATAAAACAAGCTCTAGTCACTTCACTGTAATTAAGTTTAGTATTGCCTAAGAGCTCTTTCTGTCCCTCTTGATGCTGCTCAATGATATGATGATTTCCACAATACAACAAGCATGTTGATAGATGTCATACTGATACATCTGTGTGCTTCATCATGATGCATTCAGTTAATGCAGTTCCTGGAAGCACTTTGACCTTGTTGCTAGTTGTCCAAGAAACTGCTGCTACAAGTTTAGATTTGATTATGGCCAAAAAAGCATCAAAATGTGGGTTTAAATTCAATTAAGCATTTATCTGTAGCTCCTATAGTTCAAGCAAGAGATAGCAGTTTCTCTGATTGAAGAATGAAGAAGGGAGGCACACACACATAATGACTTATTCTTGTTATTGTTACCACAGCTTCATCCTTTGTGTCCAACTGTAGTTAGCAGTACACCTTGTCTAAGATCACCAGTGTAATTAATGCAGCCCCAGGTCAACAGTCCATTAAAGTAAGCTCAAGATTATATTTTAGGGACTAAACACAGATAAACAAGAAGCTATTGAATAAAGCTAGCTTGGCCCATTGATCCTTTCACTTTTTCTCCTTTCTGTTTCTGTATCTCTCTGAGTTTTAGATGATCGTTGTCTTTTAAGGGGAAGTAGAATCATTATTTTCTATATCCCAATCAGTATGCAGCTTTGTTCTGTGCGTAATGATACGATGCATGGAAAAAGTAGGACCCAAATGCAGTATTAACAAAAAGTGAGCTTTAATTTACAAAAGCCGATGACAAACTTAACATTACCAAAACAGGGGAGCATGAGTAAATAATCCAGGATAAAAACTTCAAGGACAAACATGGAGAGTGACGTGAATAGAAAGACAAACAATGAACCGACATGGAGCACAGGGGAAGACAAGACTAAATACAAAGAAGGGTAATCACAGGACAAGAAACAGCTGGGTAAAGGAGGGAGAAACACAAGGGCAACAGGTGAACACAATGAGACAATCAGACATACCAGGGAAACTAACGACAGGAATGCAAACACAGGAAGAAGGATCAGACAAGACACAAGGAGGAAAACATGCGACAGGGAACACAGAACAGCAAAATAAACCCAAAACTTAACACATGAAACTCAAATCCTGACAACTCATTATTGAAGCAGAGTGGTTAGATATTTGAAGTGTGGTCATTAGCACGGTTCAGCATTCATCAAACGTAATGGAACCACAGAGGCCCCCCCCCCCTCAAAGGCCCATACCCATGCCCCTCATACGGCTTGGCCTTTTTTATTTACTGTAGGTAAAGAAAGAGANTGTGTGCCTTGGCAGTCTCAGTGAAGTGTGGTCATTAGCACGGTTCAGCATTCATCAAACGTAATGGAACCACAGAGGCCCCCCCCCCTCAAAGGCCCATACCCATGCCCCTCATACGGCTTGGCCTTTTTTATTTACTGTAGGTAAAGAAAGAGAATGGAAATAATGGCCTTATGTAGGCTCAAGTACTATACTTATCTGCAACGGCGGTGCCATTTGGTCCCAAAGCATTAATTTGTTCCCAAATTATCTTTCTTTTTCAAGTCATTCCTTATAATATTTACACATTGAAGAAGTAGAGGAAAGGAATGCTCATGATTGAGGATCAAGGAAGCAATCTTGGAATCCATTGACTATCGGTATTATATGTAGTCAGTGGATATCTGTACCAAGGCTTCATTTTATGAGAGCTGCTTATGTTTACACTCTGATTAGCAACTTGAGCTGCTAGAATAAAGCTGCAGTAGTGATACATAGCAACCTGACATTTCACTGGTCGCCAGTTGACAAGCTACATTTAGCTCACAAAGAGCTTAATTATAGCACATGTTTGCCAATGGGTTTGGAGATGTATTTTGGCCTCATTGCTTTTTTGAGTGGTTTCCTGTCAGAGATGCAAAACAAAAATGTATTATTTTTTTAATGGGATAATTCAAAAAGGGTCTAAAGAAATTAATAAATTGTTTTGCATCTTTGAGGAAAAAGTAATTTATACAATTGCGTTAGTGAAGGGGAGAATACATTATCATAACACAACTTGTCTTTTATTTCTTTAGCTTTTGAACAGTTCAAAGATATTCATCTGCCTTTGCCTCAGCTTAGTTGAAACATTGTTTTTAAAGTGGCTATGAGATGAGAGGGGTTGTTGAAAACCCTATTCCACATGATGATTTGGTTGGTGCTGCCAGGTACAGGCTGCAAAGTAGTCAATTCATTGTTTCTTCTTTTTGCTTCTTCATACCTCATTGTTGCATCTATTTATCTCTTTGACTGCTTTTAAAAGTCTGCTGCCGGCTGATTTAATTGTGAACTGTGCCTTGTTATTTTGTGAACTAGAGCCGTTTCCTTACATGAACTTGGCACAAAGTCTAGGGAAGCATACAACAGGAAATTGTTATAATTAATCGGTTTGGTTAGAATGAAAAGTAGCGACTGGGTGGAGCGTGCAGGACATGACGCAAATTATACAGCTGGTTATAAACATTAGAGTTTCTTGCCTTTCCATAGATTTGACGGCTGTGGCTCGGGGGCTAATCAAAGGTTCAGTGGTTGGATCCCACGCCTTGCAAGATGTTGTCGTGTGCTTGGTACTTAACCCAAGTATTGCTCACTTAGGCATATCCACGGTATTGAAGTGTAAGTCACTATTGGTTAAGGTGTCTAAGCTAATTAACATGTGGTGTAATTTGTCTGACAACATTTGCACTTACGCTCTTCTGGTTTTGCGCCAGGCACATGATGGAAACGCCATCAACACTTCCGCTTGATCAATTTGAATTTTGTAGAATTGATACTAAGGAGAAGGGTAAGGTATTTTAATGTTGGATCTGAATGATAAAGAAATGTACATCTTCACACACAGCTTCTCCCGGTAATGTCTAAATAATGTTGCAGTACATGTGGGAACTAGGCTTACTGTATTTATGTTTTGATTTTAGGTGACAGTACTTTTACTGCAATTGGCCACCGAGATATAGTGTCTCTTTGACAACTTTTTTTTTTTCCTGGATTGGTCTTCGCTGATTGCAGTGCTGTTTGTTTCTGAACATCATATGGTGGAGCTGGATGGAGGAAACCCCTCCTCCACATCTGCCCCCAAGAGACTCCTTTTCTGCAATGTTCCCACTCCTTGAGAAGCCTTTGTAAATAGGACAATCAGTTCTATTTATTTTCACCCAATTTAGTGGCCACTGTAGGCATCCCTTGGAAACTGTCTCAAGTTCAATCTTTGCTGCCTGTCACCATGGCGACGGCGAGCCTTCAGCCCTGGCCTAATCAGAAGCAGTTGAGAGTGGAGGGTTTCTTGAGGGCTCAGATGTAACTCTCTTTTCACTGCCTCATAGCAATGACGCAAAATGATTTAATTTTTAAGAAAAATAACTAAATTGATAGAGGCTCATAACCTCAGAGCGGAGCCCAGGGGTGAATCAAATAAACTAAAGCACACAACCTAAATAATTTTTGCTGCACAGTAAAATAAATGGCTGGTTGGTGGGATGAACTTCTCCCAGCACATTAAGGAATCACGATAACGATTCAGCCTATTTAATTTCCTCAGACACAGCATGCTCTGCTGGGTTTCTCTGTACAATCACATGTTCCCATTCTTTACTGGCCAGCCAGGTGAAAGTGAATATAAGCCTGTTAGCAGTTCAGTGAATATCAGACCAATATGCAAGGGCGACTGTGAGTCATTATGGCTAATGTAGTTTCACCTCTCGTTTGTGAAAGGAAAGCCCTACTCACTAAGTCTCTGTGCTATTACAGTGAAGAGAGCTAGCTGTCACTCACGACTCTCATGTAAGCACTCTGACAGGTCTGCCAGCTTGAGCTGCATTGATAGATAATAGCTAGAGCCTAATTAAAGTGGTATTACTCTCCTGCCTCACAGTCTAGTGTTGTTTCTATAACCTTCCTCTCTGCTTTGCGAATCATCGACTTGAAGCTCCACTGAGCTTCTGAGCGTTTTAATAATCCAGAGCAGATATTCTTAATTTAAATTATATGATTAGCCATAGCAGCAAGAGGCAGGTTTTCTCCTTCTGTGGGCCCCTCTCCTGGGGACAGGAAAATGGGTTAGCTTTACCTCGGTCTACAAAACCCTGATTTGAACCAGCACATGGGTATTTGAATTTTTCAGAATGGATTGCTGGCTGCTTAATTTGCTCCCCTTCATTACACTGTGCTTCAGATTTTCTGGAAGTCTGTGTGTGTGTGTGTGTGTGTGTGTGTGTGTGTGTGTGTGTGTGTGTGTGTGTGTGTGTGTGTGTGTGTGTGTGTGTGTGTGTGTGTGTGGCACAAAGTGACCAGTGCACATTGGGTTTCCTCAGAGTCACAATGCTGACCTTGCTTGAAAAGCAGATAATTACTTGGTCTATTCTGCATTTTAAACTCATGTATAAAGATAAAGACTACCCAGCTGAAGTTAATGGGATGATGCAGACTCAAAGACAGGGTCACGTTGAATCCACTTGACAGATGTGTGTCACCCCTAGAGGGTCAAACTGAGAGGATATTTCCTCTTAAACAAAAGCTGGACATGGATTTAAATGTTAATTCGGAAAATCCACAGCTAATTGGAAAACATATACTGCATATGCAGGACATTTAGCTTCATACTCTGGATATGTGTGAAATTAAGAATGTATTTCCATACCAGTTAAATGTAGAACAATTCATATTATCTGTGACAAATGTAATGCTCAGCAGAGGTAATACAAAAAGACGCATATTGAATGCAAAAGACAAAGGAGTAAATGGAGAAAGACAGGAAGATTATTTTTGCTGTGTTTGCACCTTAAACTAAAATGTGGGACACAGGCACTCTTAGCCTTTTTGGGGCCAGGGAGGGATTTTTGCTTTGGGGGCCCCCCTCCATAATGCAACTTAGCATTCCAACCTGTTTCCACATTCATAAAACTGCTGATTTCCCTCCTATATGACTGTTAATGGTAAGAGATTAATACTTAATTCAAAATATACAACAACTAAAAAGTCAGAGCTAATGCATATTCCCTTCTCTTTCCGTCTGTCTTGCTCTCTCTCACGATAAAGAGTTACGTTTTGGGCAATAAATAACTGAAACGAAAGACCTCCAAAACAATACCACCAAAGACTACACATTTTTCCTCAAGGTAAAAAAAATCCTAGTCTGGATGTGCATTATTCTGTAAAGAAGTTTTGGAAAATAAAATATTCAAAGTCCAGAGAAACATACCGAATGTGTTATCGACAAGTAAAGGAAGAATCCTCTTATTTTAAGATTTCTTTATTAAATACACACAGTTGAATCAAACAGGTAAACTCACATTAACTACCTTTGGATAGAAATGGATGAAAGTTACATATAAAAATACAGTTCATGCTTTGGCTATATATATATATATATATATATATATATAATATATATATATTACATGATATATAATAGGGTTAGTTGTTCCTTGTGCAAATTGTACTGTTTTTGTACAAAAGTCCAATAAGGCTTATGTTTCACACTGCTCATGCTTTTGACTTACCAACTGATTTGGTACGTCTAAAAAACAACATTGGAATCTGGGACAAGATCCATTTCAATTTTAATCAATTGGCTATGTAGTTTCTTCCTTTAGAGCAATGCAAAACAACAACCACCATTCTATACTCGTATTGTATAACCTTCCACAAATACAACTACCAAATCTTTGCCAAACCAGCAGCTTGCTACTTTGGTCTGTTTTGTCCCTCACACAACTTCAAGACACCTCTTCTGCACTCGTTCCTCTGTTGCCCTTCCACTTTGTAATAACTCTAATTTCCTACATTGCTAATGTGTCTGGCGCCGCGTCGGCCCCCATGCTGGGACACAAGCACACTCCTCCTGGTCACAGCCTGGCCCCGGGGCAAGGAGACCCTGGACTTGGAGAGACAGAGGGAGACAGAAAAAGAGAAAGGGGGTGAAGAGGTTCTGTTTGATGCATGTAGGATCTAACCTCAGAACAGATTGGCCTCCTCAGGGCAAAAAGGACCCTGTGGGTTTAAACAGGTGTATTGAAAACCGTGTGTGTGTGCCTCGCTGAGTGTGACATCCCCAAAAATTGGCGCCAGCAGCAGATTTAAAAAACAATAAACCCTTCGACTGTTTGACCTTTCTCATTAAAACCAACAGCATCTGCATAGATGTTGGAGCCGTTGTGTGTCTTCTCATGTTCATATATCCACACCTGCATCTACATCCTAAATCTGCCTCATATTTCGGAGAGTTCTGTGTGTGAGTTGGTGTGTGTGCTTGTGAGAGACTGG